ATTTTTCAGAAAACTCCAGGGACAAAAAGAAAACACACAATCACACGCAAGCTTTTGTTTACCCTCTGCATTTTTCCCAAGATCTAAGGCACTCTAGGGTTGTGGGAACACACGTGCTGCTATCTTTAAGTTGCCCAAACAGCTGACAGTTTACTGACGCCTGAAGCATAATGACATTAGCAGCCATTTACACAGCAAGGCGAGGAAAGCTGTGAGACACAGAACTAGATTCAGACGTTTACACCTTAATATCCCCCTCACCCCCTCTGAGAAAGAGCTTCTGATGCTGCTGAAGCTTGGCGCAAACAACCTAACATGTTCTGAAAGTTATATTGCTGAGAGATTTTTTTTTTAAACATCTGGCATTGTTTTTGATTATTGGCTCACAATAGGATTGCACTGGAGTCATGGACAGATTCTGGCCAGTCTCAACAAATATGTAAATGCTAATGTGTTTTTGCTAAGTAGTCAACATTAGCTAGCTGCCACTGAGACTAAATAGGTTGTCAGTTTTTAGTTATGGACTATTTTTTAACATGTTGTTTGTGAGTTTTTAGCTTTTTTTTCCTTTTATTCTGTTCTCGTAATGTAAAAAACAATCACTTCGATTCGGTCACCTGATTTATTGAGCAATATCTGATGAATTATTCCACTGGATCACACCAGGAATATCTCTTTTCTCTCCCCAAATCCTCAGTCACGTCTGTCTTCTGGTCTGTTTTCTTACAGAGGCACTTTAAAACTTTATTTCCCCCTCTTTTCTTCACTTCTGATTCCTATTAGCATCCTTTACTGTGGCAATGTTTCTAAAGTAGGAGAACAACAGAAAGACAGAAAGCTTTTTGAATTATCTGTCAGTATTTTAAAAACGCTGCTTTCCATTTTCCTCGGGTAAGACTGATCGTATCTTTATCCGACCACACTGGAGACGCGTCGGAATGCAAGCCAAAGAATATTTAGATAGTATCCGATATGAAACGCATATCAATGCCAGGTAGAGTGAGGAGTGAGAGCGATGCAGACTTATCGAACCTGGCATGCTGATTGGCTTCAGTGTCAACAGAAGACACACTTGCACTCTCTTTCTCTGTACACACAGAACAAACGCAACACAACCATGACCTCCTCTGGCATTTCCAGCTCCTCTGAGGGTTTGTGTGTGTTTGAGGAGAATAAAAGCCTACAGGTCAAACTGCTGTCTGACAAAATCATAAACTCAGCAGCCGAGCTCCCCTAAAGCACTGCCTTTAAAACACCATAAACCCTGTCATTAAACTGCCATCGAAATAGTGCCAAGCAAAGTTCACTGTACAGTGTTTCAAAGTCCGGTTTCGCTCGGCACACAAAAACAGTGCTTATTTTGCTGCCAATTATTATAGATACAGATATTTACATTTCTGATATAGACAAGCCGATATTTATTTTTATTATTAATAACTGATAAATGGCCGATTAAAATTACATGTGCCAAATGTGCAGTAAATATACATTTTAAGATTTTCTAAAGATTATATTTAACAGTGTTATTAAATTATTAGCAAGCATTACATGGCAGTAAAGTTATCTAAAAATAAAAATAGTAAAAAAAAAATATATATATACTATACAATATTAAATTAAATACACAAAATCAGCCGATACCAATTAAATAAAATAAAAAATTCCAATATCAGCTGATAACCAATATGGTACTAATAAAAGCATTCCCACAAGGTCATTATTAAAAAGATAGTTCACCCAAAAATGAAAAATCTCGCATTAATTACTCACACGTCGTTCCAAACCCATAAAACCTTTGTTCATCTTCGGAACACAAATTAAGATATTTTTGATGAAATCCTTTTCAAGGCCCAGAAAGGTAGTAAGGACATCATTAAAATAATAATTCCTTACATTTATATAGTGCTTTTCTAAGCACTCAAAGCGCTTTACATTGTCAGGGGGTATCTCCTCATCCACCACCAGTGTGTGCAGCATCCACCTGGATGATGCGACGGCAACCATAGTGCACCAGAACGCCCACCACACACCAGCTTACTGGTGGAGAGGAGACAGAGTGATGAAGCCAATCAGCAGATATGGGGATGGTTAGGAGGCCATGATGGTCAGAGGCCTCATCCGAAGGATGGTGCTTTTTACAGTATAGTGTCCCCATCACTATATGGGGCGCAATGGGGCGCTAGGACCCACACAGACCACAGGGTGAGCACCCCCTGCTGGCCTCACTAACACCTCTTCCAGCAGCAACCTAGTTTTCCCAAGAGGTCTCCCATCCAGTTACTGACCAGGCTCAACCCTGCCTAGCTTCAGTGGGTAACCAGTCTTGGGCTACAGGGTGACATGGCTGCCGGTAAAATAGTCCATGTGATATCAGTGGTTCGACCTTAATTTTATAAAAGGTAGGAGAATATTTTTGTGCACAAAGAAAACAAAAATAACAACTTTATTCAACAATTTCTTCTCTTCCATGTCAGTCTTTGATGTAAGGACATCGTTAAAATAGTCCATGTGACATCAGTGGTCCAACCTTAATTTTATTAAGCTACAAGAATATTTTTTGAGCAAAGAAAACAAAAATAACAACTTTATTCAACAATTTCTTCTCTTCCGCGTCAGTCTTCGACGTAAGGACATCGTTAAAATAGTTCATGTGACATCAGTGGTTCAACTTTAATTTTATGAAGCTATGAGAATATTTTTGTGCACACAGAATACAAAAATAACCTTATTCAACAACTTCTTCTCTTCCGTGTCAGTCTTCGACACACATTCACGAGAGCATGCTTGCCTTGCATAAAAGCACAACGTAAGCCTGATGTTGCAGTTATGCTGTGAAGCAGTTCTAATGCTATGCTGTCAATCTGTGATGGCAAGTCAGTCTCACCCCGTCGTTCAATTCCATTTCTCTCTGACGGACCTGTGAACGTCGCTTGCTCACCACTAAATGGAAGCAATTGATTACCGTGCTCTGTCTGTCTGCAGGCTGCTCCTCAGAGTCAAGGGCAGATCGACAGTAGACACAGGACTGTGGGAAGAAGGGAGGAGAGGGGCGCCCGCCTGCACACGTGGCCCTGCAGGAAACACAGTGTGCTCAGTGCCCAGAGCAGTAGCCTCAGGGCAGGTGAGATCACCACTGCTCTTTCACACTGACTCCAGTATTGTGCAATCGCCACCGCAGGCAATTTTTTTTCCCATTACCGTACAGTAAAAATGCTTTATATCAACAACTCTGCAGTGTTTCAGGTCCGCACTGTACATCTACTCAAACGGATCTGAGGCCAACAACAGCAAACTACTTAGTGGCTATGAAACGCTGACCGAAACCTTTTGCAAAGGCTTTTGAATTTTTCAGAAGTTTGTGGTACCAAAATACTGAAGTTATTTCTGCCACCTGCACGCAATGTAACTCTTTGACGAAAGACCAAGCCACATATGTTGAAAAATGCTGACAAGATCACGTATTTCATAATTTCTTTGGTCCTATCTTTTAATTAATGAATATTATATTTATATATAAATATATATATATATTTATACAATTCATACAGTCAGTGAGACTTGAATACATCTCGTATATGGTGAGCATGTTCTTTTTTTTTTTTTGTGGAGACAAACTCAAAAATGTCAGGGTGATGTAATTGTCCTGATATTATAACAAAGAAAAAAGAAAAAACTTGAAAACCTTAAGTAGACTGCTATTGCTTTTTATTGTTACTTCTTAGAAAAAAAAATAGTTTAACAAAACTGCTAACACAACTTTTACTCCAGTCTTCGGTGTCACATGAGATCAGAGATCATTTTAATATGCTAATTTGTTACAAAATAAATTATTATTATTATTATTATCAGTGTTGAAAACAGTTAGGCTAATATTTTTTAACCTTGTGCTGCCTAATATTTTTGTGGATACAGTGATTCATTTTTTCAGGACTGTTTGACGAAAAAAAGGTTCAAAAGAACAGCATTTATTTGAAACAGAAATCTTTTGTAAAATTATAAATGTCTTTTCTGTCACTTTTTATTCACCTTGTTGAATAAAAAAAAATGTTAATTTTTTTTTTTTTTTTTATCTTTTGAAAGGTAGTAGTGTACATTTCTAAGAACTCTTTATATAAAAAACCCTTCCTTTTTAAAATTGTGGACCCTCTTTCATTTCATTAACCAAAAAATGGTTTGCCAAGTGAAAAGCCAATTTAGACCTGTGAGGCTTCAAGCACTCAGCAAAAGTCTTTAACTATTCCCAAGAAGTTACATCGAATTTTAAAGAGACCTTCACAAACAAAACTTTATTTACTGAGAGCTTACAGAGGAACGTTCAGGTTTCTCAGCCTCACTAAATATTTCTCTCTATCCAAACTCTAAATAAACTCACAAAGGAGGTGACGTTCTCTACTCCTGGCATTGAGTGCCAAACTCCACATTAAAACCTCCCACACCACTGTCTGACAGGGCAATTAGAGTGACATGGAACCGGTGCTCTCCACTCCAGAAAAAAAAAAAAACTACAGTCTCCATGGTAACACAGATGGTGGTCCACAGTTTTGAGCTTTTCAATTTGAGACACTTTAGTCAAAAGCATCAAGCTTCAGAAGACACCTCTGGACTTAAAAGAGAGAAATATCTCTCGAACCTCGAACATCTGTCCTAAGGCCATCATTACACTGTCCGTGAGCCGGTATAGCTCTAAACAGGTAATAAATGCTCTGGGATTGTGGGTAATAGGCCGCGGGCTTCACTTACTCTAAACGCAGGTTTCGGAAATAACTGCGAAGAGATCATCTTATATTTGTGGGTGGAAAACAGCTTGAAAAGCAACTGTGCCATGGCAGAAACTCTCGACGAATCAGATCTGAATCAAACAGGAGATAAATAATGAATGAAAGAATGAAGCAACCCACTGACATCTGGCCTTAGCAATGAAGGATCCGAAGGAGCGTACAACTTTAGATGTTGCCCAAAAGGCACAGATGTAGGCGATCCAAAAGGAAAGAACCCTTTAGCAAAATGTTAAGCCCTCCAGATAAAGAGATTTCTTCCTGTTCATCCATTCAGCTTATTATTCCTCCATTCATCTTGATCTGTATCAGTCCGGCCACTCCGCCTTTGCTCTTTGGATCGGCCATCGAAGTCATCTATATCCAACAACAGAAACATATCCCATAACACTAAGATGAAAGCAAAGATATCCTACAACATCCCAAACGGAGGATGAGCTCACAAACACGCACACACAGTCGATATTATCGAACATGCTGCGGTCTTTGTGGTGGGAGATTTAGTGACATTACCTACCAGTGACAGGTCTCATCGTGAGGTCATTCATCACCGTTGTGTGTGCGGGTCGACTGGCACGCGACCCATGATTGCAAAAAGACGCTCGATCACACTTAGGTGTAGCGATCACACGAAAAATCAATTCACCTGTGTGCATTTGTGTACGTGTGTCGACTACTGAATTTATCATATCGCTTCTCCATGTCCTTGAGGTACCAGATTCGCAGATGATTACAAATGGACAAGTATATGAGCTCTCGCACACAAGCTGCAATTTCCGAAATACATTTCGGTCAAGGTCTTGGTCCCAAGTGGCTAATTTCCTGCAAACTTCGTAGCATTAGTCGCTTGGAATATGAGGAAGAGGAAAAGAAAGGCTGCTTTGTTCTCCATCATACCGAAAAGCAATTAATACAGTAATCCTGTCCCAGCAGGCCTTGGGGGGAGGGCTGTATGTAAATGACCTGAAACAGGAAAGTGAGTGAGATGAAGTAAATTAGCTTCAGGCTGAGGGTAATAAATAAATATCCATGCTGATTAAAAACTCACTAACACATCTCTCCAATGCAGGTCAGCTACATTCATTGGGCAGAGGGGGGAAAAATGAAAGTCTAATTTCCTTTTCTCAAGGTGACCTTTCATGTCCAATAAAAAGATATATAACAATTTCTTCAGGCTTCAGACACCACACATACGCATTCATTAAGCCTTCAAATGTGCTGACAATGAAGAACGCAGCTTGAAATAAAGATTTATAACTAATGTTCTTCTTATTAAAAATTCTCTTCTGCTATGACTTGCTGGATTAAACCATCTATCTCCTGGACGTGTCCTTCTACCCTAACAGTGCTGGGGAAGATACTTCGAAGTGTAGTTTGTTAAGGGACATATAAGTAAAAGTACTAGATATAGTACAAGCTAATGAAACACTGCCATTAAACAGCATTTGAACAGATTTATTTGCACTGAACGCCCCCGATAAAACTAGAAAACAGCACAATCTAACAATATATTTGAGTAAAACGGTGACCAAGCAGCAGCACTGCTTAAACATTATTACTCTGTAAGATTATTTACCAAAAAAATATCATATTCATTTGTATCACTACACAAAGAATGAAGCCTGCAAAGGCTTTTTTTTACTAAACTAGCGTATTTAAATGAACCAATTCAGTGCATTGATTCACTTGTTTGATTACTACTGCAAAAAAATCTATTCCTTTTTTCTTTATGTAAATTGGAGCCGTTTTTTTTACCAATAATTTACACTAAATGCCACCAACATAAAATGTAAAACTTAATACCATCAATAAACACAAAATCATCAACAAAACTAGAAAAAGTCATAATTTACATTCCTAGAACAAAAAAACAAAAACAAAGTGGCCAACAGAAGCGTTTAACTAAATATGATTTTTAAGATTATTATAATAAATACTGTAATATTATTTTGTATATAGCAAGAATTTTATTATTTAACTATTTGAGTGACAAATCAGACTTTTTCATGTTACGCATAAATCATGAAGCATGTTTGAGCACATTTGTACACTCTGATGTGCATGCACAATACTTTTAGAATCACAAAAAAAAGTTTTAAAAATGCTTTAAAATCTGTAGCATTTTATAATGTCACACTGCTACTTGTTGAAAAAAAATTCCATGCCAAGTTAGTAGTGCTGAAAAATGCAAAAGTTAGTTTGTTACTCCCCCAACACAGGCTCATGCAGGAGCACAACTAAATTTTCTTTGGAAGAAGAATTCAGTGCTTGTGAAATGCAGAGTTTGAGTTTGTGAAATGCACTTCACTCACTTAATCAGTGGCCTTGCCCTGCGCTGTCAATATGGCTGATCACACCGGTTTTTCCACATTACGTTAACAACTTCATGAGCTCTGCTGAGCACAGTATTAATCTCCGGCGAAACCCCGCTTTTCACCCTGATCGATACACGCTGTCTGTCCTGCCTGCGGCGCGTAGACTGTGGGAACCACTTTTTTGGAATCCGGTCAAAACTTTCACCACGCATTTCACACACACGGGATCGAAACGAACACCGGCTATTTTTAAGATGTAGCACCCTTAAAGAGAATCAAGAGAAGCAATGTGGCCAAGTGAGAATAAATGGAAAAGCGAAGAAAACTTATCAGAGGCAGCCTGCTTGGCAGAACAAAAGTACATTGCAACACAACAGGTATAAAGCGCAGAAAAACAGCAGTCGTGTTGCACAGCTTTTAAACAAGGAGTCATTTTACCTCAGCATAAAACATGTCTGTATGTGGGCGTCTGTAATGTAACATGCTATTTTGCAACCAGACCTGCAATTAAGAGCATGGAAGCTTAACCAAGTTTGCCACTTTTTTTGGTAAGAAAGTGCTTTTCTCACTCTCTCGGAAAGGTACAGGACTAATCCAGCTTGCTGGGAGGCCACTTAAGCTAATTGGCAGGTTTTGTGGGCATGGGTTGGTACTCAAAATAGCCGAGACCACCCTCCTTCTCATCTTGTATAAATGGCTCCTTCACCACCATCATCTCCTTATTCCAATCAAGCCTTTAAATAAGCCAGGCCTCCCCCACAAAGACGGCGAAGTGCACTGTTAAATTAGAGTAATGAGACAAATGACTTGAGAGCAAATGAAGGAGAAAGAAAGTGAGGAAGGAATTAGAAGAGAAGGAATGGATCCGTATACGTCACATTCACTGTCACGCACCCATTGTGTCTCAATCCGCTCCCTAGTTCATTAGTGAGGCTCAGTTTTTGAGGCTGTCCCATTGTCCAAATCACTCTAAGCAGAGAAATGTTCACGCCCCAGAAATTCCCAGAATGCAACCCACCATGAAACTAGCAATAATATTTACTTACTAGAAATGTCACTATTCCTTCTTAAGTATTTAAAGTTGTTTCTTCATGTGATCTTTCATTCTTATTCCCTAAAATGCACGACGGGTAAAAAATTATGCAAACTTTTAAATATTAGACAGGAATTTGTGTTTTAGTTAAAGATAGAAGACTAGGGATGAAACAATATTAAAATTCTAGCCAATATGGATAAGCCAACAATTATCTGAATGTTATGGCTGATAATTGCTAAACTAAACTTTTTATACTATCATGTACAAATAAATTTAATTCATTTATAAAGTAAAATGAATGCTAACAGTGCTACAGTTGAAGTACAATTACACACAATTAAAAGTTTTGGCCAATACCAATTACCTACTAATTATTTTCATAAGCTGATACCAGATAAATTACTAATATTAAGAATAGCGCAGGAATAAAATAAAAATAAAACACTAAACTAAAATCAACCATTATGTAGGTAACACAACATTATTTCATAAAATATGAAACACATATTTTATATTTACATAGTTTTATATTTTTAAAGTTTTAAAGGTTTTCAATTATTAGTATTAATATAAAAAAATTACTTTGAGTGGTAGATGACACTAAAGGTAATCCTAATGTAAATATAAGGGACATGATTGGACATGATGGACATGCATAATTAAATATTCAATACTGACTGTTATTTAATAAATTTAAAAAAACTCTAATATTGGGTATAACCAATTTCAGCACTAATATACGTTATATCCTCAAAATAAAATAACTTTTATTTTTGCTTATGTTTATTTATGTTGAGAATTTAATATTGTAATAATTTTGTGCTTTGCTATGTGATGTTTAATGTCAGAATTGCCATTTTTAAAAACTCAAGAAAAGCACATTTTCATAATGTCAGTGTACTTTTTACATCTACAATGAAGGTGCACAACAATGTTGATAAATACCAGCTACTTGTACTTGTGACGCAGCCAGGTCACAGGTGAGGACGTCATCAATTTCCCAAACTTCAGTGTATCAAGGGTCTTGCTAGTACTTACATTTGTTCACAATGTCCTCAAGCACGTCATAGGGAATTAGGGAGCAGAATGAAACACAAACAGTCTTCAGTTAGACTTCTGTTCAGCTAGAGTCCATTGCGTAACTGATGGCAAGAGTAAAGTAAATGAGCAAGAATTGTTTACTTCAAACTCTTAAAAGTATGCCACCTTAAATTCCCAAGGTGCCCTCTTTGTCTAAGGTAAATCACAGTAGGGCGGTTCACATCTCCTAAGCGAGCCAAAGCTTTGTCACCACAGTCGCCATTAAGCTAATTGCTTTTATAGAATCTGAATGGTGATGAGACAAGAGTCTTCTCTTTCTGTCTTTGTTGAGACAGACAGATCTGGCATCTAAAAGGCTGAGGCTCAATTCTTCCAACGCTTTCAGATAGGGTCACATGTCATTGGCAGATCTGAGTCTGTAAAACAGAAAGAATACAGCAAGTCCATTAGTTCAGACACCAAACTACGCCAAAAATAAGGATACGTTTAAAAATACAGAATGAGAGAATTAGATATTGTGCCATATTAATGAAGTGTCTAAGAATATGAAACATTATATGAGAGATATTTCTAGGTCTGTTTTGCTTTGTAGTCTATTCTGTCTGTGATTAGAGAAGACAAGGTGGAATCTGATCCCAGACCTGCTGTATTTTCTATGAACACAGTGCCTGGTTCCCTCAGAGACATCTTGAAGCAAGGCTTTCCTCTTCATTTACATTTTCGTGCAACATAACAAATGTCATCCTCAAGGATCTCTGCATAAAACAGGCTGTATTAACCTCATTCGTTTCATTTTCATGAATTTGCCACTCCTTTGTGTTTGTGAATCCTCACAGCAG